TTTTTTCAGGACCCATCAGCTCCAAGTCAGGTTCTTGTCCTTCAATATTAGTTGTGGAGGGTGCAAGCTCAGCTCCAAGTCCAATCACCACTTTCAATCTAGTAGCGAGGGGGTTAGGGGAGGTGCAGCCCATCTCATGCTGGAGTCGAACCAGCAACCCTGTTGCTTAGAGCTCGCTCTCTAACCAACTGAGCCACCCGGCTGGCCCTTTAAAAATTAGTCTTGATTAAATGATCAAGATTAATGAGTATAAGATTCTTGCAGTCCATAACTGACAAAGGCGTATAGCCAGCATATACCAAGAACTTTTATGCATCAATAAGAAAATATCAGACAACTGAAAGGACAAATGGCTAAAGATTTAAACAGGCACTTTGCAAACCAGAAAATTCAAATAGGCTATAAATGCATGTAAAAGTGCACAGCCTTATTAGTAATTAGGGATACGAAATGAAGGTCACAATTTTGATACCATTATATATCCTCTAGATTGACAAAAATAAAGAAGTCTAACAGTATCATGTTTTGGCAAGGATGTGGAGCAGCTGGAAGTAACCATACATCTTTGGTGGGAGTGTTTTTATGACAGTTTGGAAAACAATTTGGTATTATCTAATAAAATATAAGCATACCCCTTAGCCCAGCAATTCCACTCCAAGGTATTCACCCTAAAAGGTTTGCACTCGCACACCAGGAGATATATACAAGAATGTTGTTAGCAGTATTATTTGTAATAACCCCAACTACAACTACATACAACAAAAATAGATGACCTCACAGATATAACCAAGAGAAAGAAGAGGCCAGAAACACACACACACACACACACACACACACACACACACACACATAAATTTATGTCCTATTATTCCATTTATAAAATGCCCAAAAGCCAAACTAAACTGTAATGTTCAGGGATGCATAACAAGATGATAAAACTATAAAGATCTATAAAAAAGTAATTACCATAATGTCAGTATATATATGAGTAGCCGTTGCTTTAGGGGGAAAGGAAGGGCTATGAAAGGAAATTGGGGGGCAGAGGAGATTCTGGGGTGATGGCAATGACTTGGATGGTGATTACACAGCTCTGGTTTATGACGACTCCTGAGGCTATAGATAGATGTACCTTGTCTGCACTTTCATGTGTAATTGTTTATCACCAAATAACACTTCTCTTCATATTTCAGTTTTGCCTTTGAGAAGAAATGAAATGAGGGAAGAATGTAGGTGTGAAGTTTGACTGTGAGAAAAGGCAGCACATGAAAATCTGAGGTCAGAATTAACCTGTGAAGAGAGAGAAGGAACAAGTTGAAGCCACAGTAAACCTGCTGGAAAGATCAGGTGGGTAGCTTGCCTTTGGATATATATTTTTTAAATAGTGTTTTAAGAATAATACAGTTTGTTCCACGTGCTAAATTTCTTGTTCCCCCTACTTTACAAGTTGGACCTGTGCTGAGGAACCACAGTTTTTCTATTTTTTGTTTTAATGCATTATTCGTAATTGACTTGAATCCTCCAGACTATCCACGGTATGAGAAGAACACATTTGATGTATGAACACTCTCTGTTTGAGTATTAACCTGGGTGATCCCATGTCGCCCTCCAGGGACTTCCCTCCTCCCCTGTCTTCCTTCAACCAGAGTTGGAGAGCAGGGTCAGAACAATGAACAGACCAGAGCAGGGGAAAGTTCCCTATTGAGATGCTTTGGAACTGCTAAAAAGTGGCAGTTTCCTTCCATCTTATCCAATCGTGTTCTCCAAGCAGACTAATGGTAGAGCTTACCGTTAAGGGATACAGGACAAAAGCGACTCGTAGGAAGGGGATGCTTTTAGACAAGAAATCTAGCGCCCCGTTAACGTTTTCTCCTCGTGTTGGGGACCGCGGTAAGTCTCTTCTCCTTTCCTGCCTTTTCTGGCCAGTACAACTCTAATTACATACTGACTGCCCCGCCCTGAGGACAGGGTACCCCTCCACAGCAGGGACATCAGGTGTCCTTGGACTTCCAATGACCCGTGCGGGCCAGAAACAGGAAAGCAGATGAGCCTTTCAGGTGGCTTGTGAGGCAAAGTCCAGTGGACAGCGACACGCCCTGGTCCTTAAGGCTCTCGTTCTCTCAGGATTTTCCGTGCTGGACCCGATCTACAGCGCGCCAAGTCCCCTGTCAGAGGCGTTCCCAGGGCGCCCGACTCCTGAGTTTCCATTTCTTAGGCAAAAAGGCAGTGGAGCTAAAGGAAGGCTCTTTGGAAGGCTGGCACCAGCCCGTGCTGTTTTCTCGCTTCCCTTCGCCCTCCTGCGGGCAGCCTCTCTCTCGTGGGGGAGTCCCCTAGGACTGGGGCCAGCGCCAATCAGGTCGCTTGGTACCTGCCCCCAGCCCCGGCCACCTGGAGGGGCGATGAGGTTCTCAGCCCCGCGCAGGGCTAGTACTTGGAGCGTCTGGGCGGGCAGAGGAGCCTCACGTGGGCCTCCCCAGCCGCCGGCTCCCGGAAGGACGCGCGCAGACCGGGTGGGAGCCGAACGCGGGAGCCACCGCCGTCGCGGAGCTGCCCAGCAGCGGTAACGGGTTGGGACGCGCCTCCGCACCCCCAAAGGGAGGAGAAGAAAAGAGGGGTTGGGACCGGGGCAGGCCGCGGACCCCGCGGGCCCCTGGGCGCCGCTCGTGGATGTGCCTGGCCACGCGCACTTTCGAGGGAGCTTCTACACCCAGGTAAGCTCGCCCGCCTCCCACTGCCCGTCGCGATCTTGACCAGAGCCCCCCGCGCTGCGGCTGGGTCCGCGCCCTTGTTTTCGCGTTCCACACCGGCAGCGGTTCGCTCCGAGGGCCACGGCCATGCACGGGTGGGGGGCTGGGGGAGGCGGGAGACTCCAGCCTCGCGGCCAGGCTGTGGGTCGCATGGTCCCCGCCCCCCGGGCGGACTCGCCGGGTCCCTGTCCCTGGCCGCGCCGGTATCGCTCTCCTCCGCCGGTCCTCGCCGCCGACCTGCTTGCTGCGCCTCGGAGCCCGCGAACACCCGGGGACCATGCGGCGGCCCGGGCTGGGACCGCTGGGCATGTGTGAGTGAGGGGGCACGGGGACCGCGATGGGGGTGCGGATGGGTGGCGTGGAGCTGCCCCACCGCCGTCTGTGCAGCCAGGTTGGTCCGAGCGCGCGCGCCTCTGGGCTTGGTTTGCTGGTGATTTTCCTGAAGTTTTGCAAAACGAGGAGGACGGAGGTTCGTTCGCGGCGCGGGGGTCGGCTTCTCTGCCAGTGCTTACGGGTCCAAGACCGCTGGGCGCCCACCGCCTGCTTTGGGCAGGCGTGGAGACACCAGACTCGCGTCCGGGCCACCAGGTACATCTTCTTGAGGCCCCAGAGCCAGCGGCCCGCACCCCTGTCCCCCAGGGCCCGACGCGGTGGGCTGGGCCCTGCTCAGCAGCCCAGAGGAGGGTTTGGCCCAAGTAGAGAGACTGGGGAGCGATCAGAAAGCAGTGTGGGATCAGCCCTGTCCTGCTCATGTCCCCTTCACCCCAGCCTGGCCAGGTGGGGTAGGCAGAGTGCTGGGCTCTGGGAGATCACCCACAAGGGTGGCTTCCTTGTCCCTGCGCGCCCCGCGCCCCCTCCAAGCAGCGAGGGAGGCAGGGTTGGAGATCTACATTCTCTGACAGCGCCCTTGGGCTACATACACCACCCATATTTTCCTGCCACACTTGGACATTTGTTTTCTCTGGCTGGAATCGTGGAGCCCTGGAAGTTGCCTCTTCTTAGCAACTTTGGGTGGTTGAGGGACAGGTACCCACCACGCAGGCTGGGCCCCAGTCAGCGGAGCTGCTTCCTCCCACTCTTTTCCAGCATGCTCAGCCATGGACTTTCCCCAGCCTTGACCAGCTTGTGGCCTGACTGAAGGACCCCGGTTTGGAGGAAGGGGTTCTCAACCCCAGGGCGAGGGGGCCAGTTCCACAGAGGCAGCAATGTAACTGGCAGGCGTTGATGTCTGTGCAGTCAGATCTGTATGCCCTGACCTGTCCTGTAGTATCTGAGCCAGACCCACGTTTTATGTGATGTGAGACAATGATGGGGACTTCAGATCTCATGTGTTCACTTTGTCCAAGATTCCCTGGGATTCCGAGTCCTGGGGAGAAGGCAGCGAGCGTTCTCTGTGTACTGATGAAGTACTTAGAAGTATATTTCAGATCCTGCCCCTTTCCTTCAAGGGGATGACAGAGCAGAGGAATAGTCTCGGAAAGCATCATTCTCTGTAATTTCTCAGACCTCTCTCTGGAGGTTCCAGCCCTGTGCCTGAGAGGAGCTAAACCAGCATGTAGAGATAGGGGTCATGTTGACACCCAGGAAGGAACTAGAATGTGGCTCCCCAAGGTTCCATCATGACATTAGGCGAGTCAGCAGCAGCCCCCTCCTCAAAGTTCCCTCTCTCACATATGGGGCGTGGCTGTAATTTCTACACCCTGAGGGATGAAATGAGACAGGACCGTGTGCGAATGGAAAAGCCTCTGAAGTCCTTTGGAGTGGGGCTGGGTGGGTGGGTGGGTGGCTGGGGGGTTCACATGCACAGGTAGAAACCCTAGTTTTGGGCACCACTGGCATTCCTGTCAGAATTAGAAACATGCATTTAGTGACCTCACCAAAAACAGTGCTCGGGAAAGGCAAGATGGACTCCGTGCTGACGAGAGCAAGTCCCTCATGTTTTGCTCAGGGATCTCTGTTTTGTCTCTAGCTCGCCCATCTGTAATTGGAAATGAGCTCTTCTTAGTCCCGAGAGCACCTCAGTCTGTGTACAGACATTGTCTGGGTGATGGAAGGAGGAAGGAAACTGGCACAGGAACGGCCCACCCCTCACCCAGAGGCACAGGGTGGGGTTTTAGCCACATCTCCTGCTAACTTTGGAAGGAGGCTGAGTTGGATCACAGGAGGGGCTGGGAATTCTCCGGGGTGGCCACTTCACAAAAGAGCTGCTCTACCCTAGCTGGGCTGGTCCAGGTCTTGTCAGTTGTGAAAACTGCCCTGAGGTTTCAAATCTAGCCTGATGATTATTAACAGTAATGAAAGCTGCTGCCTATTTATTAAGTACCTTCTATGCGCAGACACAAGGCTTTGTGCAATCACGGTTATTATCCCCATATTTCATTTGGGAGAGGTTAAATAACTTGCTAAGATCATCAAGCTAGTAAGTGGAAGAACTGTGCTTGGAACCCAGGTCTCTCTGGTTGCAAAGTCCCTGCTCCTTCCACAGGGCCACTCTCCTCCCATGGAGAACAGGCATCCATGCGGTAGCTGAAAATCCAGAGCCACTGGGAATAAAGACTGTTATTTGTAGGTCTAAGAGATGTGACCCCATTAGACTTCAGGGGAAGTGCTGGCCTGGTAAAACTGAATGTTCTCTGTTCCCGCTGGGACTCAGAGGTTTAATCCATACACAGAGATTAACTCATTAACATGCAAAGTGCAAACTAAAATGACATACTTATTCACCTTTCAATTAGCAAACTTCAGAAAGACGGATAAATTGTTGATGAGATGCTGGAAAAACAGGCACGCTCATACATTGCTGGCCGAGTAAATTGGCACAACTTCCTCAGAGGGCATTTTAGAAACATCTCAAAATTCGAAATGCCCATGCCATCTGACCCCATGGTCCCGTCTTTAGGAATTTAACTTGATGTTATACTTGCCTACACATATACATACGTACACATTATAGAATTGTTTGATCTGTGGAAGAACATCCTACATGCTCATCAAAGGACGACTTGACAAAAATATCTTGTGGAACTTCCACATAGTCGAATACAGTCTGTTCATCCATAAAAAAAAATAAAAAAAAAGAATCAGGAAGCTTCCTCTAAAACGGACATGGACCGATTTCCAAGATACGTGGCAAAGTGGAAAGCATGCGTAGAGTGTTCATAACATGCTACTGTTCATGTTATAAAAGAGGAGGGAGAAGGAGAGTTCCAAGATGATTTGTATGTCAGCACATAACTATATACACAAAACCTAATAATATCTGTTGCCTCCAGGGAGAGTGGACCTGTAAACCCTGTGTATCTTTTCAATTTTGAACCATGCGATTGCATTAACTTTTTTGTTGTTGTTGTTGTTTAATCCTCTCCTTGCTCTGTGCCTGACATTCTCTCAAGCGCTTCTCTGTCAGGTTGCTTGAGGGGTTCCCCTTGGAATAAAAGCTCTGGGTGGTGAGACCCCACAGAGCCATAGTATCTGACCATCCAGAATTCCTTTCAATTTAGAAGTTGTGCTCGGAAAGCTGGGGCGAGAGGTATTTTTAGACCCCTCTCTGAGCTGGGTAAATAAGATCTGATCCTCCAGCTTTGAAAACCAAATGGAGAGATAGAAACAACCCCTCACTTTATTGCCCTCATGTTCTCCCGTGTAAAGCCTCAGCATCGGATGGGATTAGTAAGGGAGCAGGGGCAGTGAGGTTGAGTGTCAGAGAGCAGACGGGATGTCGGTCTAGTCCTGTTGTTGCATTTGGACCTCGGAAAGGAGAGGAAGAGAGATATACTTGAAAGAAAAGGTTTGGAAATTATTCTGGGGCTTAGGGCTCTATTGCCCCAGAGGAGAAAGGGAGGTTATTGATGTGAGTTGTCACATCATCGATCAGTGTATCCCTGAATGCCCCATTGGGTGCTTTCCATCAGCACAGGTGCCCAACTCAGTTGTTTTGTCCCCCAAATATTCCCTTCTGCTGATCACCCAGCCTGGAAGCCAACAGATGCACAAAGCGGATGGAGGCAGGTATCAGGCACTGCCTTCCCTCCTTCAGGTAGGACAGGCTATTCAACAGCAGGAGCAGTGGAAGAAAGACTTGCTTTCAGTCACACGAGATGGGGCCCTCCTGACCTGTTAGGGGGTTAGCCTTCACCGGGAGCTTTCTGTGTTCTAGTTACTCTGTTGAGCACTCTGCCTACATTATGTCTCGTAATCTCTTGATCGATACGTGCGAGAGACCAGGCTCGTTGCCACCAAGCAGCACCACCTTCCTGCTCCCCCTTCTATGGCTTTTCTGTAACTTGCAGCACAGGCACAACAGCAGCACGCGGGTGTCACAGACTCAGTTTGGGTTATGACAGCATGTGGCTGAGCATGTCGTGCTTTGATGGATGAGCTGGAATCTTTGCAGTCTGCGTAGGTTTGCACAAGGCATGGTTTGGGGACAAAGCAGTTGGCGTTCTTGGTCTGGATGTCCATCCCTCTGGCTTCTGTCTCTGTGTGTGCATTAGGGCTGGGCTGAGGGGCTTGTGCGTGTGATGTTCCCCAGGGACGGAGGCAGGAGAAGGAGCAATTGTCTCTGCTTTGGTCCAGATGCTAGTGGTGCAAAAGGCTGTGAGGAGGTGCTCGCGAGGCCCTTTGTCTGCACTCGAGGAGGAGGGTGAACAGGGTGGCCGCTGAGACTCTGCGATGGGGGTCTGCCTGCTGCTTGGGAGAAACAGCCTGATTGCTGAGATCCTCACTCACTGCAAACTTTCTCCTCCCACGCAGCTCACCGGCTGGGACTCACCTCTGACTCCCATCCCATTTCAGAAAGGAACAGCTTGAATGTTTCCCCAAATAAATTCTGGAGCACATAAGGCAGCTTGTGCTGCCGTTGTCCTCAGGGTGAGAGCACGAAGCTGTGGCTGCCAAAACCTAGCCAGGAGGGGAAGGCCAGATGCCCCGACTATTTTTTCAAAGTCACCTTATGACACAAAAAA